ACTATATTCCACCTTCGAAACTAAGACCGTTCAGACACACACTGCTACATGGATGAACCATGACCCACGATGGTATTATGCTAAGCAAGTGATAGAAACACAAATGCTCTGGAATGGCACTCATGTGAGTTATCTAGAATAGCTAAAAGTTTAGCAACAAAAAATGAGTGACAGTTGCCCAGGGTAGGGGGAAGGAGGAGAGTTTCAGTGCACACAGAGCTGTGGTTTTCCAAGATGAAGCGTTCAGGAGATTGTTTTCTTTACAATGCAAGTACACCTAACACCACTGAGCAATACAACTAAGACAGTTTACATGATATATCTCATTGTTATGTGTACCTCATCATGGCTTTCTGGGGCATAAAATAAACCAGGAATACTTATTTCAATAGCATTTTTTATTTAGCCCATTATATCTAAAGCATTATTTCAATATGCAACCAGAAATCTACTGAGATATTTAACTTTTTTTCTTAAGCTGTTGAAGTCTACTGTGTATTTACATACCTAATAGAACTCTTTGGACTAGCTGTGTTCCAAGTGCTCAATAGTAGCATATGATTAGTAGCTATCATGTTGGGAAGGGCAGGTCCAGCACAATGGACAGGGGCAGTTGCTTAGCTGAGATTTTCCTTTTTCCTTGTCAGTTTATGTATTACTGGTTCAATGGTGGCACTTTTATTTTAGCACCTTCCTTGAAGAACTTGTCTTGGAGGCAGTAGCAAGAATAGTCTCAGGGTAATCTAAAAGCTACCCCAGAATTCTTCAGGGATCCAAAGAAGCCATTGAGCTGAGCTACATGGTCCTTTGCTATTACTCTTTCTGGCTATGCTTACAACCCTTATTTCCTGGTGCATCAACAAAGTGCCCAGAAGCCATAGACATCACTGTCACACTCGCTCTATGTTCTGGGACAAGCTGAATGGCATCACAGAGCTTTCCTTACTTTGCTAATAAAGACCAGGAGAGTGACTCTCTCATAAGGCTGGGGCAAGGATTAAATCAGAATGGGTACACAAGCTTCCATTAAAAGCTTGGCACATAATGTAATGAATAGTGTAGGTCACTGGTTAACAGTTATCACCATCATCGTTACCACTGTTACTGGTACTTTTTGAAGATATAGCAGTGCATCAATGTTCATTTAGAATTCCATCATTCTTTCAGCCTATGTGCCTATGGTGTTTGTAGCAAGCTCAGATTGTGGTCCTACCATTTCCAAGTGTCCTTCATCTAATACTCTCCTTCTGTGTTTCTCCCTTCTCACCTTGACCCCAAACACAAGGCCCCATCCATACTCTAGTATATTCTACTTGTCTCTCAATCCTCAAATCTATAAAAGGGGACTAGCAATGTTGCAAACCACATGGGGTTGCTGTGAGGATGAATGCAAATAATGCAGATCAGCCACCTAAAACATGGCTCAGTGCCCAGCAGACCCAGAGCAGGTAGGCACTGTCACCATTTTGTGAAAGGCTGACGGTGCAACAGTGCAGAAACTCAACTTGCCCTACTAGGTATAATATGGTAGGAAAACTAGACCTTAACTCAGCAAGATAATAGTGATTGAAGGGCGTACAGCAAGTTTTAAGCAGGTTCTTGATCAAATACTGAGGCTATAGATTGAAAGTCTCTTGTCCTTTCCTTAGAGGACACATGATTAGCTCCCCGAGACACATCACAGGTTGCTGGTTCTCCTAGCCTATTAGCCCATGGAAAGAACAGCTACTCTCATACTCAAATCTGTTCATGACTTCCAGTGGCTCCCAGTTTGGCAAAGCAGCGTTAAATCCTTGCAGACTAGAAAAAGTCAATAAGCCTTTAAAAAACAACAACAACAACAAAACCAGATCTCATTGCTTGTCTATGGAAGGAAAATCTTGTTCCCAGGATTCTGTAATTTCTGCCTACATAGGTCAGGGTGGCTAAACACATGCTGAGCAGTAAGCATGGTCCCCACTGGGTAGGCTGGGTCTTCCTGCAAATCCTCATTAAGTCAACAAAGAGATTAGCATTGGGGCAATTTATGGTGAGCCACACAGGTCAGTAAAGCACAGAGCAATCTCTTAACTTAGCAGATACAAGGGAAGAAAAATGAAAAAAAAAAAAAAAAAAGATAGTTGATAGCACTGTCCTTATTGAAGCCGAAACTGAAGTATTTCACAGTTCTCACTTGACAGAACTGAGTGACCATGGCCCTCTCCTTGAAGCACGCAGCTTTGGGTGAAGTCTATGCATAAGTAGAAACCACAGAACATGCTCTTTTTTTACCTCAAATAAGCTTGGCCAGCCCTCACCTTCTCAAGGACTCTAGCTCCATTTGTCAGGCATTAGCCTCAAATTTGTGAAGTGAGTTGACCTTTCTGTCGCCTCTGTTAAGACTGGAAGGATGGCAGAGTCTGAAGACTCTGCTAGGCTGGCTACCTTCCTGAGATGCTGGCTTATCTACGTTGCTTTATTTACCCTCTACAGAGCTAAGAAGTGGAAGCTGCTGAGCATGGCTTTTCTTGCAGGAGGAGCCTGAGAAGCTACAGGCTTGTCCTTTGGAGGATGGCCCTGTCTGCTCCAGGAGGTAAGCACCAGCTTTAAAAACACAGCCAGCATCTTTTCGTGGATCTTCACTTAGGAAACATACATAGAATATATGTATAAGGCTCTAGAAAAAAATATAGAATATGTATATAAGGATCTAGGAAATATACATAGGATATGTACATAAGGCTCTAGGCAAATTGATGTTCTCTACATGATGGTTTTGTACAGTAGAAACAGGAGTCAGAGAACAGTTTGTCCATAAGCATGGGAAGCCAAAAGAATTCATATGTTTACCTTATTCATTCTGACGCTGAGACTTCATTTTCTCCAGTTTTTTTTTTTAAGGGAAGTAAAATGTGTCAATCACAGTACTATTCATAATACCATCCCATTTAGAGATAAGCTGGAAACAATTTAAACATCCAACAGTTGCTAAACAGCCTATATAGCATATTCATTTAAGAGATGCATCCATGAACTCCAGCTGTAATTAACCATGCCTAAGAGAGCAAGCAGTACTGGAAGATGAGAATGGGGCACAGAAAATGCTGGGGAAAGGCAAAAGTGGGTACAGCTAGACCACAACTGTCATTGAGTCAGAGAGGTGTCTGGGCAAAGCTGGACAAGAATATACAAGAGTCAGAGATGCTGAGAGGTCAAGATATAAAGAAAGTCGTATAGAGATATGTTGCAATGTTTCTATGACACACCATTATCATTAATGGCAGAAATGAGTACCAACACAGCACAGACATCAGACTATTGATCTTGCCCCACAACTTCAGTGTTCTCTGGGTTGCTGACGTTAGATCTCAGCTTGTCTGTGCAGGCACGATGCTATGATGCCATGGATGATGGCTCCAGATATTCTGACAGCCACAAGTATTGTGGCTTTCCACTCGGATGGCTACTTGAGCTCTCCTGCCATTTATTGCCAACTCTGAGCAGCCTCACCTGGTGTGCCATGGCATGAGAATGTTCTATAGGACTACCTTGAGGGGAAAGCTTCCCTTGTAGAAAACAGATGGCTCCTTCCCGCATCCTCTGCCCTGGTTCATATTTCACTGCACACCCTAGAGCAACTTGGGAGCAGGAGCTCTGACCCTCCTTTGTACTGGCACACAGTTGTGAGCCCAAGCTGCTGGCTGGAATCTCTCTTCCCAGCCAAGCGCCAGTGTCAAGTGCTTGGGATTCTTGTCCCTCATTATGCACAGCTGCTGGAAGCCAATTCCTAGGACATGCAAAGGGCCCCTCCCTTTCTCCCACTTTCCCCTCCTCTTCTCCTCCTGGGGATGATGTGCTAGTTTTCTTCTCCTGCAGATTCCCTGGTTCAGCAACAATAAAAATCCTCCGAAGAAAGAATTAAAGAGAGAAATGTGCATATGCCTCTGTGTGTGTGTGTATGTGTGTGTGTGTGTGTGCATGTATGTAACTGTGTGTATTGTGTATGTTGTGCATGTGTGTGCATATGTGTGCACAAGCATGCATGTGTGTGCTTGTATTGTGTGTTGTGCATGAGTGTGCATAGTGGTGTGTGTGTGTGTGTGTGTGTGTGCTCATGCGTGCACGTGTTCATGCATGTCTGTGTGTGTACCACCTTTTTAGACATTCTAAACACAAGCAAATTTATAACTGGATGCTATCTATCACACAGAGCACCTGTGGTCACCATTACCCACAGGTGCATACCAACTCATCATGCTGAGAAAACCTGCTGTTTGCTGCACAAGAGCTTGAAAGCAAAACATCCTATCCTGCATGCTTTCAACTTCAACATACGTCTACTGTTCACAGGTAGAAAACCCTAGGGCTTAGCATTAAAAAAGAAAGCAATCAAAAACTTTCTAAAGTTTAAAATCACCCTGATGCTGAGACCCGTGTGTTTGCCCTGACTGAGAGACCTGTGCTTTCCCAGCCTGGATCGCTCAGTGAACTCCTTCCAGGATGACAAGTGTCAGGTTAAACTGCGTTGCTGTTGCTTACTCCGAAGGACTTAAGCTGAGGACTGGCCACCCTCACCCTTTCCCAGTGGGAGGCATGTAATCCCCTCTCCAAGAGAAGCAACTGTGTGGCCAAGCCATAGAGATTCACACATGTGCCACAGAAACTTGGGAAAGAGCCCCCTTTGGGCAGTCCTGCCCTGAGAGCTCTTTAGGGCTGAGGTGCCTCTCTGCCTCGCAGCCCCCCACAGACAACAAGAAAACAAAGAGAAACCCCTGCCCACCTGCTGCTGTTTACATGTTTTATGATCCGCAGATGCAGAAAATGCAAGTGCGTGTGGACACACTCCGGTGCCTCCTCTGGAAGAGGGGCTTGGATCCCAAATGCACTTGGTGATTGTGTAAAGCATCACTTCCACTCCTAGCCACAGGAAAAGCAGAGACCCAAATTACACACACACACCTCCCAGCCAAGCCCCCTCCCAGCATCCTGTTCTTAGCCACAGAAAATCAAGCGCTACTCACATGCGGCAGCCTCAGCCTCCCTTTACCTCTCCCCGGTCTGTGCACCAGCGGCTGCTGTTTCTCCTGTTGCAAGCGAAGCGAACCTTCAGCAGCAGAGATGCTTTTCCTCTGGGCTGCTTTGTCTGAGATTCCCCAGATCAACACCGGCTCGTTTATGTCATTATCCGAGTTTGATTGCTCCCCTAACACAGGCAAGGCTTTGGGGCTGTCATCTTCCAGTGGCTGGGATTCTGGTAAGAGAAACAACAGACCTGAACCTGACAACCGATCGCATCAAAGCACTCCAGGGGATGGCAACCCAACACTATGAAGTAGCACATCAGCTTACAATGATACTGTTCAAAGCGGTAGATCATCTGTCTCCTGTTGGCCCTAGGAGCCTAACCAAGTCAGCACGGCATTATTTATGAATTTACAGCTTCCAGAGTGGCTCCAGGTAAAGTCACACAAGCACCACAAAAGGTTAGCATCACAGGCTTCTGCAGCCCTCGGATATGTTCACCTTGGTTGAGATCAATAAGGAGGTAATAGCATTTGGTAGTTAGAAGTTAAAGATAATACTAGAGCAGAATTCATAAGTTTAAGTAGACTTAGGATGTCAGATGTGCCCATCAGTTATTAACTTGTGGATTTGGACAGGGTCTTTCTCTTCTCTGAGACTGTTTCACGTGCATGTTGGTGGTAATGGTACTTAGCCCCTAGGAGAGCTGCAAGAAGTGGGGATATGAAGAACCTCCTTTGTTATATTATCTATTGGACGTCTCCTAAAATATGGAAACTGTCCTCACACTGCCACAGTGTTTGTTAACTCCGAGAAATCATTCTCTTTTAATAAAATCATAATAAAGTCTTATTATCAAACTTTGAGATTATTCCAATGTTATTGTTAATTATTTCCTCTGGGGAAGCAAATGTGGATGCTCTTCATATGTAGGGCAACCCTTATTTCCAAGTCTCAAACAGATAAGAATTCTGGGATAGCTGTTCCTCAGGTATGGGGATCAGAGCCAGGAGATGGTCTTAATTGTCCAGCAAGACGATGATGCTGATTTCTGATTCTTTCTGCAGAGAGGCTCATGTGATATGTTGGGGTTTCTCATGACTGACAGATTTTGACAAGGGGAATTTTGGCAGAGCCATTTACATTCATTTTCAAATGTAAAACATGTTCAAATGAGAAAAAAAAAACTGTAGTGTTTATGTCCGAGATGAGCTCTGAGGGAGTTGAGAATATTGACATTCATGGCTGGTTATCACTGACTTCTCTCCATTCTCCTAATGTTCTGGAAGCACCAGAAGAAAGCTCAGCCCTATGATAAATACTAGTTGCTCTTCTAGGGATTTCTGCCATATTGATGTAGTTTCCACGAAGCGAACCCAAGGGTTGGTAAACGACTTAGTAAAGTCCAAGAAGTTCTATCCAATACCAAGTAGCATGTCGGATGGAAAGCATGGGTCAGCAAAAACTGTGGGCCAGAGATAGTACCTGCAGGGTCTTCTCTTAAAGGCTGACAAAGGGATAGCCCTCTCTATAAAGATCCTTAGAGATGATGGGGAGGAAAGATTGAAGGAAAGAGGAGTAATCAGCCAATACTCTCACACCCTCAAAGAACTTAGTCTCAAGAAGTTCCCCCAAACAAGAAAAAGATCATGTTAAAAGTATTTGTTAAAAGTATATGCTGGGCTTGGCGTCTACTAAATGTAAGGTTCAATAAATGTTAGAAATTAATTACTAGACCCGTTTTCTGATTGTTCTTTAAAACTGCTCTCTTTGGGGTCAGGGAGAAGATGGCTCAGCAGTGGAGCACCTGCTACACAATCATGAGGACCAGAGATTGGGTCCCAGCACCCACAGCTTGTGTGGCAAGGTGGGTGTCACAAATGCCAGGAACTCCAGGTCCAAGGGATCTGATGCCCTCTTCTGGCTATTTTGTGTGCTCCCACATATACCTCTGAGTGCATGTGTGTGCATGAGTGCATGCACATATCACACACACTCCTTATAAAATGCCTTTCTGTAATACTTCAACTATATTTTTCTCTATAATGTCAATGACCAAATAACACAACAATTTTCAGTTTTTGTGTTTGCTTCCAAAGTCTCTTTTCTCTTACTACTGTTCACTGATTACCTAGAAGTGAGTCTCTTCTAAGTAGATACTCACTGGATGTTGCTTGAGCAGATGAATGTGACCAGAAGAACTAATTCTCTTGCCTACAGTTACAGAATTGATACCAATGCCAACCTCCAGCTTCACACCCCTTATGCTTCCCGAGGCACCAACAAGAGTGAGGTATGAACCCTATGGACTTACTTCTGCCCACCAATGTGACATTTTAATTTCCTAGTGACAGTTGGGATGTCTGCTACATTCCAGTGGCTTCAGGCTGCGTTGCTGTCATTGTGCACTGACATTTCTACCAACAAAATACTTTGTAACTTGTGGGTGCGTTTCACGAAAGAGAACAGCCACTTTCTTCCTTTGAATAGATTTATTGGAAATCAATGCTGTGGCTGAAATGAGAGTTTGGCTTATGACAGTTGTCCTTGATGGTTTGTTCAGATAGAAGAAGTTGCCTCTAAAGCTCTTCAAATGTTCTTTGTGCACAAAATTATTTGAGAAAAAGTAAGCAATACACGGGAATAATTGAATTTTTGGAACATGCCTCAGGAGTGGTGGTTGAACACTACAAGTGACCAGAGACTCTGCAAGTTGTTTTGAGCAATATGTGGGAATGAATTTGCTTTTCACTTCTGACATTTCATTTATTATTTTGAGGATCTCTCAAGTTCTACTGGGAAGAACATGCTGTCCTCTTAGGGTAGTATACTAGGAGCCTCCATGCAGGAAGAGCTGGTGAGGTGGCAAAGACCTCGGGCTTACACAGACATCCTTCATTCCATCCAAGTTCTGTCCCTGAACATCTAAGAAGCCTTGAGAAAAGCTCTTCAGTTCACTGGACTCTTTGTAAAGAGAGAGGATGAACTTCACATGCCCTCTTATTTTTTTGTACGTTTGGGTTCATCCTCTTATTCCAGAGGAGAGTGAACACATTCTACACAGCAGTTCTGTGACCAACTTTAAAGGCATTGAAGCCAGTAATAAGCAGGTATAACCCACCTCTTCAAGATCACATTTATTGATTGGTTGATTAATTAATTCTCTACTGCAACTCTGGGTATGTTAATGTATAAACAGTAGCAAAATTCCCTCTTTATATTAAAGGAACATGTGTCCTAGTGTGGGACATAGCCAAGCATATGGACAACGATGATGTTATTGTGTTGGGACAGTAGCAGTGGTCCTCAGTAAGATGAAGATTTAGAAGTAACTCTTTGGAAGATGTGACCTTTAGCCTCACTTGGAGGAATAAAAAAGAGTTGTTGGGGGAGGGAGAATACGTAACAGAAGAAAGCATCACCTGTTGTGGTAAGAAAGCTGCTGGAGTGGGATCATATCAACCCAATTGAGACTGTGAGGCACAACTGTGACTTTGCATCTTGTTTCCTCTACTAGTACATGTAAATTTCAAAGTCCTTAGTTTTGATCATCATAAGGATAGAAAAGGAGATCTGGGTCTCCAATTCTATTCACTATGCACAAAAGATAGGGAAGGAATTGCAAAGTGAGGGCTGGAAGTAACCCTTATGTTTCTTTGCTTATGGTGACCTCTCCTCTTGCCATTCATTGTCTCCTACTCCAGCTGTTAGTACGAGACTAAGTGAATGGGGCATTTGTATTATGGCCATATAGGAAGTGGTAGCATCCACCAAACAAAGATGCAATGTGTCTGAACAGATCTTGTGTGAGGAAACATGTTACCATGGGGAATAGGGTACAAGGTTGATATTAAGACATCTGGCCTTGAGAGTCCTGCCTCTGATTCACTGCCCTTGTCTACTCCGTAAGTTTGTGAGTTAAATGAGATCACCCATGCAAAGTTTCCTCTACAAAAATTTGTTATACTTATGGGTATTTTGCCTGCCTGCATCACCTGAATATGTATGCAGTGCCCTTGGAGGCTAGAAGAGGGCACCAGATGCCCTAGAACTAGAGTTATAGGCTGTTGTCAGCTGCCGTGTGGATGCTGGGAATCCAACCCACATCTTTTGGGAAAGCAGCCAGTGCTCTTAATCGCTGAGCTGTTTTCCCATCCTAGTGCAAATTTCTTAACCCAATGCTTAATACAAAGACAGAACTTAATAAATTTTAGTTGATGTCTTAGTTAGGGTTTCTATTGCTGCGATGAAACAGTATGACCAAAGAGCAAGTTAGGAAAGAAAAGGTTTATTTAGCTTATACTTCCAGATCAGAGTTCATCATTGAAGGACATCAGGACAGGAACTCAAGGAGGGCTGGAACCTGGAGGCAGGAGCTGATGCAGAGGCAATGGAGGAGAGCTGTGTTCTGGCTTCCTTCATGTGGTTTTCTCAGCCTGCTTTCTTATAGAACCCAGGACCACCAGCCTAGAGATGGCCCCACCTACCATGGGTTGAGCCCTCCCATACCGATCACTAATTGAGAAAATGCCTTATAGCTGGATTTCATGGAGGCATTTCCTCAGCTGAGGCTCCTTCCTCTCTGATGACTCTAGCTTGTGTCAAGTTGACACACAAAACCAGCCAGGACAACTGACCCATTGTCAACTTGACACACAAACACATCACTACTAAGCCACAATCCTTCCTTTCTTATTCATCCCCAAGATCTCACATTAAAAACATGAATAACTTTAAAAGTCCTAGTCTTTAAAAACCCAAACACATTAAATTTTCAGTCTCTTTAAAATGTCCAATCTCTCTAAAAATCCAAAAATCTTTTAGAAGTTCAAAGTCTTTCAGCTGTGGGCCGCTATAACAATCAAAATTAAATACCCTCCTCAAGAGGGGAGAACCGGTGCACAGTTCTAAATCAACCAAAACCACATTCCAACAGTATAAACAACTCAATGTCCAATTATCTGGGATTCACTTATGACCTTCTGGGCTCCTCTGGAGGGCTAGAGTCACTTCTCCAGCTCTGCCCTCTGTAGCACACACAGCTTGTCTTCTAGGCTCGGGCTGGATCCACTCCACTGCTGCTGCTGTTCTTGGTGGTCATCCCATGGTACTGGCATCTCCAGAACACTGGGGTCTTCTGCAGCAACTGGGCTGCACTTTCACCAGTAGCCTCTCATAGGCTCTCCTCATGGTGCCAAGTCATTTCTCTGCATGACCCCTTCTGTCCTGGTCCTTCATCCGCCACT